TTCTTTCTACAGCAAACTTTGATAAAAACTGGCATTGTAATTGATTTGATGCACTGTAATTAATCTGATAAACAAAAGGCTAGGACATGCACCCTCGTCCTTCCAAGGTCCCCCAAGACACGGAGCAGTCTGCCACTGAGGGAGCACCTGTATGAATTACAATGAATGGCATTTGTACTTGTATCCTGAATGTTGATGTGGACTAATGGAAGAGATGGCATTTCATCTGGCTGAGAGCTGTATTTGGTGACAAATACCTTTTCATGACTGTGACTGAAATTTAAGGCAGATGTCTGCTAAAATATATAATCATTATATATGTTTATAATATATAGCAATCTTAATCTGCTGTAGTACTGGCTACAGTATTATATATTGAACATTTCTATAAGTAAGACTCTACTGTATTAAAAACCTGTACAATGGTTTTTCCAACACCTCAGAAAAAACTTTCTGGAACAAGGGAATTAAAAAGACTGGTAATATTTTGCTATCAGTCTAATCTTCCCCTGAGCCAGTATAATGCTTTGTATATCATTCCAACAAAAATGTTATTTTGATTCACCAGCTACAATTACATATGATTGCTTAATTAGAACAAGCTTTTTAAAAAAGTGAAATATTATGCTGAACTTGAAAAAAAATTGTAAGTTTTGATCTAAAGCAATTTTACTTGCTGAAATTGTGCTAATAAGCAACTAATGTTTAAATGTTGGGGGTTTTTAATGAAAAAAGTGGCATGATTAATAATATACAATTTATTTTAGCCACTACATAAATGGGGAAATCTCACACAATAAGCAGAGACTTTTTCAAAATATTCAGTGCAATATGCTGCAATTTCAAGATAGCATGTCCAATCTCACAGAATCAATTCTCAAGAATACAATATGTTTGTAGATCAAAGATCAAAGCAACCCCTACAGTAAAAACACTAAATATTTTTCAAATTCCATTCTTTAGCATTTATGCAGAAATCTTTAAAGATATTATCTAATCTAAATCTTTAAAGATATTATCTAATCTAAAGCTTAACTCTGCTGCTATGAAACTTAAATACTTCATCATTTCTTAATATCAAGACCAAGGAATATTGCAGGTGAAATATACTGCTTGTATATAAGTTAACAGTGTCAAGCACAGATTGGGTGCTCAATAATCAATGGCACTTCTGTATGGCAATATGAGATTGCATTTGAAATAGGGATTTATGACTGATCTCCATCTCCGACACAATAAATTACATTTGATTTACATTTTAAAAACCTAGATACCCTGAGATATCTTCAGTTAGTTAAACTTTTTTACTGAAAAAGAGGAAAAAAATCCCCTTATGTCAAAGAGTACAAACCAGTTTATAATTGCTCATATTATTTTTTCAGAGAACAGGTTGCTAGAAAAAAACAATTTTTGGTATTACAATCTCTTGTCTTTTGATAAATCTCACTGTGTAGTGTGGCCATTTTAACAGAACCTGTGCATTACCATCCACATTCTATCCATAGATTATTTTTAAAGGGTGCCTTTGACCAAACTACTGACAAATGTAAGCTATGGCACAACTTCTAGGTCTCCCCTGCCAGCATCCAGCAGACAGGGGATGTGCAGCCATGTGAAATGTGCTGCTGATCAAGGTATCCAACACCTTCTGCAGGGAAACTGGGAAAGAGCAGAAGTACGAGGGACCATGAACGAAGATGGGTCTCATCCTAACATGAAGTTAAGACCACCAGGATACCAGCACCTGGATCTACTGTGCAGGCATAATGTAAAAAAAAGCCCATATCTAGAAATTTGTCAGCACCCGTCAGCTTTTCCTGTCAGCACAGGAAAAAAAAGGAAAAAAACAAAAAGGAAAAAATGTAGGACTCTACACATATATAAAAGCTGATTTCTACAGATTTTAGTGAATCACTATTGATCTCATTCAGGATGCTGATACCCATATTCCCCCTTTGTTTCCCATAGTATCCATTAATATTGGTCTACAAGAGGAGTTTTATTGGAAGATGAAGAAGGCCAGAGAAAGGCCTTCAAACTTGAGCAGTCTCATTGGTGTTTCCTACCATGTATCAAATGTGCATTGACTTCCCTAAAAACCAAGGCAGTGTAGTCATGGTTTCTCAGCCCAGGAGTTTCCTTCTCTCTAGTGAGGCTCTGGAGAGAGCAGAGCACTGTTGTGTAAGATAGAATGATGTGACCAAGCGTTTGGCAAATGGATAAGCTCTGCAGTGACTGAGTTATTGGGAATTACTTCCCAAATTTCCTGTCACTGATCAACACTTATAAAACATATTAGTATTTATCATTAAATATTTTCCTTAAGAAAACTTGCTCCTGTGGCAAAAAAATGACACAGATCACCATTTCCACCAAAAGAGGTGAGAAAAACACTTAAAGATGACCCAAAATATTTTAAATCCTATAACAGAATTTAGTTGCTGCCTTTCTGCAGAGAATCAAAGTCTTCTATCTTTTTTCTAGCCAATATATAGTCCTGGAATTGGAAAAAATGAAAAAATAAATTTGTTCTTGTGTATACTGCTCACACTGTACTGTTTTATGACTCTTCCAAAATACCCAATTACTTTTCACATTAGTAGTTCTTATGTCAACTGCAAAGAAATTCCTGAGGGTTTTCCCTCTCAACAGATTTGCTCTTTTAAAGCAATCCTTGATTTTAACAACCTGGAAGGGGATATTTTTCTAATGCAAGATGTTCTGAGCCAAAGTAATTTCCTGTGTCTGCTCTGAGAGCTGAAAACATTTTATGCAGAATCTTTGGTGTGCCTTTTCAGAATCATCACTCAAAGAATTTTGGAACTTCATTTCAAGTTAGAAGCACTTTCCACACCCGCAGGACTGATGAGAGTTTGGTCACTGTTTTCATAATTCCATGGACATTTAGCACTGACTGAATGGCAGTGTAGCAGTTACTATGGCTCAAGGCTTTGAGGTTTTATGAGGCAACATGGTGTTTCTGGTAGTGCAATTTGCTTTTGAGTGGATGGATAAACTCGAGAGATTCATAACAGTGTCTCTGCTGATTTTCATGGTAGTGAAATTTATGCTAATGTGAAATGGACAGTTGTGGAGATTTATTTATCTGGGTCACATCCGTCCTAACCTGGGGCTCTTCAGGATGGGATTACCAAGGACATTTATTTACCTCTTTTTCCTTTTGTTGGCTACTTTCTAGAATCCTGCTTATCGTGAGTATTCAGAGTCTCCCAGTTTTTCCTAGTTTCAAATTTTTCCCTACACTATACTAGACAAAATATCTTTTTTGGTTATTTACTCTAAATATAACTGTATTTCCATCCTGCTCTTCTTAAATTCTACTTTCTTTGATGTCTAACACCTTCACTTCAAGTTTATTTCTTTTTTTTTTCCTGTGAAGTTTCTGCACATTCTTTTCTTTCTTCTCTTTTTCTCTGGCTATCCCAATTAATTTTGTATAATCCAGTTTGACTTCATTTGTATTTTCCAGTAAATTTATCTACTCTCTAAATCCATCCACTTTTTCTCCACTCTAGGAATCGGTTTCCATTTAGTACATGTGTCCTGTGTGAGCTTCGTGCCTAACTGGGAGCACTACATATACCACACTCCAGATGGTCTTAAAACCTTGGTAGCCAGTCTGCAAAATTGCTGTTGTTCTCCTTTCAGTAAGCTTATAATTTGTAAACCAAAGGACTTTGCACTTATACACCTCATTTTGCTGTCTCCGGTTCACTCTCAGATTCACTAAGCTTCTTCATTAGTGATTTATTCAATATACTCTGCATCTGAGGGTCTACTACATCTGCATCCAATATTTAGTTCACTTTCTCTGTACTCAGGTTATTTATCTTTTACAGGGTAATTCTCTTCAAGGTACTTTTGTTATCTAGATCAGATTAATGAATGAGCAACAGAAAAGTTCATTATTCTGTGATTTTAACAGTGTTAAATGCACAAGCTTCCCCACAGACGTATGTTAAAACCCCACAGTGAAGCTCATAGGATTTGAGGATGGGATATCACTATCTCTTTGAGAAGACATATGCAGGTACTTTGCCCAGATTTTTCTTAAAGGACCTAAATAGGTATTTCAACACCTAGCACAAGAATTTGTACAATTAGGGTGAAGTTCACTGCTGGGAGGAGAGACCGTATGAGACCTCTACATTACTCACACCCCAACTGAGTGTTCCAACAGTAAACAATGACCAGGTCTTATCTTGTATCTCATCCATAAATTAATTAGATGATCAAGTATTAAACTGTTTATCCAAGTGATTTTTTTTTATCGAAGTGTAAGGTCTTGTACATAAAATACACATAGTACTGCACTGGGCTCTAGGTTTGGGATTGATCTCACTTGACTTTATGTCTAGATCTCAGCAAGTCATCTAACATCAATTTGTTGCCAGTGGAGAGAGGAAGTCCCATTCACAACATGAACTGTGAGCCCACACCAATTTTACCAAAACAACCCACTACACTGGTGTTTGCTTTGAAAAGTGAAACACATCACGTATTACAGAGATGTAGGATCAGGGAAATAAGTTATGGTTGAGAACATGGACACCAGCTGATTTCCCACAGATAGTTAACTTAAGTGTTGCTTCCCTTAAACTGTTTCTCTCGAAGGAGATTTTTTCTCTTTTTGGTCTAATTTCTCTGTTTTGGTCTAACTCCAAAAAATATTAAAGTGTTAGCATGCTATTTATTCTGTAAAACTATTTGGCTCCTCCTATATGGAGTTACAGATACATATATATAGAGATATATATAAAGAAAACAGTGAGCACCCATCCTGCATAACCCTGTTGGCTTTAACACTGGTCTGGGATTTTATGCAGTTATTCCACCACTCCCCCAGCTGCTTTGCACTCTTCTCTAGCACTGCCACAGTAACATTCATGTGCATGGCCCTTTGCACAGCAGCTGACAAAGAAAGCTGAGCACACAATCACTTCTCTCTGTTTGCTCCTGTTGTTGTCGTGATTTATTAGGTACAAAGGCAGGAGACTGGCCCCCCCGCACAAGTCGGAAATAGAGTGTTTCACCCCAAAAGGGAGTATGGGGAATGGTGGGCGAGCTACAATGACCAGGTAAGCAAAGAGCAAGTGGCCTTAGGTCAGTGTGATATGTCTGTGAACAGAAGAAGCAGCCTTGGATAATTCCAGGCTAGATCTTCTGTCTGTAATTCCTGTGTATCCCATAAAGTATGTTTAGAAAAGAAAAAAAGAAAAAAAAAAAAAAAGAAAACATGTTGCCACTGCTGATTTATGTGTTCCATCTGACTACAAAAAAACCCTGCACCGTGTTCATTCCAGTGATCTGAACCACATGTCCTGTGTGATGTTGTTGTAATATGGTGCTTTGGGGAGGAGAAATCTTACACCTGACTCATTAAGCCACTTGGGCAGATGAAAAGAAGCAGAATTCAAACCTGGAGTAAGGGTAGGTCCACTTCATTTTAGGGGTTACATTAAGTCTAACCAAAAGAACTTTTAAAAAGGGCAGAGAAAAACTGATTGATAAAAACATATTCAATATGGAAATGTTGGTTCTTCTAAATCAAAATATCCTATGGAAAAGTGCTGAGTTTTACAGTTATTTTAAGGAAAGGTTTCAAAGTAATTTTAAATACAGTTTAAACCATCTTTTTAATAACTTTCTCAATTTAATTCATATACTTATTTTTGCTTCATTGTCATTATATTTTGCATGACATTAAGCAACACTACAATTTAATGAATATCAAATAATGGATTTCCTTCAATGTTACTAGGATTAACTGCTTTAGTATGGCCATTTTGATGTTTTTCCTCTTGAAATACTTCAAACTACATAATTCTGTGCAATACTTGGAGATTTCAGCAATTCTTCTCATTTTGAGTCCAGCCAGATTTCCAAAAGTTGAGCTCTCCCATGGGACAGAATTTTCATTTCTCCATATATGTCCTTTCATAAATATATAAGCACATACATGCCAAAGATGGTTATACATCTTTCATGAAACAATGTTTTTAAGAAGTATTGTGTCATTGTGTTATGTCCTACTAAGCATAAGAACCATTTTACCATTTAATAAAATACCTGCTCATTCCTTATCAAGACCTGTAGGATATTTACAAATGTAACAGTAGAGCACAGGGTGACCAAATTATACCGTCACTTTTCCCAAGTGTTACATCCCTTGGGAAATTTTATCAATGCAGGAGGGTATTCAGGGAGACACTTGCACAGCGTTATGTTTCCCTTGGGTACAGCATTCACACACATTCTTAGGGCTATCAATACTCACACCACACAGCACACACCTGAGGGCTTCTGCAGTTAAAATACCATCAGAAACCTTGATTGCTTAGTGTTGCACACAAAGTATATTTTTGTCAACTGGAGGGGTTTCTTGTCTATGTGTCATCTGGAATTTTTTTTTTTTTTACATTGCATTGCCTTCAGAAATATTTATTCTTCATTTAAAAGCTATCTGAAATCAATATATGATGGAACTTTGAAGAGTGGAAAAGTACATATAATTGTCAGACAGCTGTATTTTGTTGTACAGCATTCAACTCTGGTTTACCTGGCCATTTATACACATTTGAAAAACTTCTTTTTTATATCTTCACAGTGAATAATCTGTTTGCATTCCAGACTGTAATCGATCTGAGTCAAGTAGAGAGAAGAAAAAGGTTCCTGTTAAAGAGGATGCCCTAACAGTCAAAAAGACTGGAAACTCTGTCAGTCTAATAGTTCCACAGCAAGTCTGTCAGCTGCAAGACCTACTCAAACAATTAAGAACACCTGCTGCTTAATAGAGGGTGCAATTATGGCTGTCTCCAGCCACAATGTCCTGGCCAATGGTCCTTTTCCAATTTTGTGAGCTCAGCAGAGTTGCCTTTGAGCAGCCTGGGAATCTCCCAGACAGAACTCAGACATTTCAGAAAGCAGGTACATTCTGACATCCCAGCAGGTATCAGACCAGTGTTAGAAGTCACTGAGATGAAGAGCAAATGGAAAAAGACATACAGGGGCCTGACCATTTGTGAATGATGAAAAAACCTCATCATCTCATGGGACAAAGAGGTCTCATGATACTGACCAAATCCCACTTACAGTCTTCCAGTCTAAATAATGCCATGCAATTCATACTGGGCAGTGTTGTTCAGCTTATGTCCTCAAATACCTCATGCAATGTTATATTTGTATTCCAGCCCTAGTGTGGACATTTTCCACATCTGGGCCTAACTATGCCTTTATATTAGTATTACAAGTGGCTTTGGATGTTGCAAGATGAAAAATGACACACAAATAGAAGTAGTGGGTACATTATGTGTTGCCTTGAAAGGCTGTTTCTAATTAGGGAAGTTACAACCTCCTGCATCACCTGTGAGAATCATTCACACATATATGATAAAATCAACTATAGGAATGAGGTGTTTTATGAAGCTTTCACAAAGCAGCCATAACATCAGTTCTTTTGCACTTCTTGCATAATATATACATTTTTAGTTGATTGAATGCAATGAATAAGAAACTGTTTAATAACTCACAGGAGTAATTTTCCTGCTGATAAGTCCTATGCGCAAAAATACTTCTGTAATTATTTATTAGGCATGCCAAACATGTAAAATTCCTCCAATTGCATGCGCTTTGCAGAAGATAGAAGTTAAATCAACTCTTGACTTTGGAGATACAACTAGGAGAGTTAATTTTTTTTCATTGGTCTATTGGTTGGTTTGTTGGTTGGTTTTTTGTTTGTGTTGTGTGTGGGTCTTGTGTTTCTATTTTTTGTGCACTGCTTTTACACTTGATTTCAGTGTCAGATAAGGTGATGGTTTCAATTTTTCCCAATTCCCACTTCATACCTTTGGCAATGAAAACAATGAAAAATCAAGTTGGCCAATAAATGCTGAAAACACCTTAAAGCATGTTCTGCTTTAAGTGGAACTCAGGAAGAGGAGCTCAGAGTTCAAGACGTGTCATTGTCCTCTCTCCATACTGTGAATAGAATGCTCCAGTGTAGCAGAGATGTGCTCAGAGATGCTTGAAAGGGCATTTTTCAGACAAAAAGCATAACACAACTCTAGTTACCTTAATTAACAATAGCAATGAGGTCATGGTAGTAGAGAAAAGAAGATACATCTCACACCAGGATCATTTTTGCATTTTGGGTAATGATGTACTAGAAATGTTTCATTCAGATACCAGACCCTCCATTTCCCAATCTAACCAGGCAGGCTGCTGAAGCAGTTACCAGAATCAGCATCACTGGTGGCTGCACTGGAAGGTCACTGACAAAGGTTTTGTCCATCAACTCTCTCTCACTTTGTAGTTTCTTTCAGACTTACATATTAAAGTCACTCATATAAATGTCAGCTGGGATTTTCATAAGGAAAGGAGGTATCAACATATTATGATTTTTAGAGTATGATAAATAATTGCTCTTGCTGTTCACAACAGAAAACTACTCTGAAAAAATAATTGCAAATCATTGTTTATTTCTAGAGCTCAGGACATGACAAAAGTATTTTTTTTCCTTGTATTGTTCCTCTTTTCTGTTTTGTTGTCATTTATTTCCACAGAAAAAGCAGTACGAGATTAATTTAAACTAAATAACTTGAGTGATATATCACTAGCAGGTTATTTGTTTGTGGCAGAATTGTCTTCTACCCAGGGAAAAAATTACATAGGCATGTCGAGTTTTTCTTAAAAGATTTTTTAAATTAGAGGAATAGCAACAAAATAAAACGTTACAGTGGTAGAATTTACCTAATTTAGACATCTTTGGTTCTGCATCAAGTTATCCAGGTTGTTCTATATTTCTGGGAGAAACTATGACTTGCTTCTTCATAGTTGTATACTGAAGTTCACCACTTTACCACATATTTAATTTCGGTGTTTTTAGCATGTTGCAAGGCACTTGCACTCTCCCAGGGATGAAGAACTTGGCTCACTACAAGCAAAAGAAATAGTGATCTGAGATTGCTGGTGACAAGATGAAAGAATATGCATATTTGCCCCTACTTGAATTCATCATGGGCACACACACATACACACACCATCCCTTAAGAAGAATCAAGTTTTAGTTAAGTCTCCAGATAGCACACAAATCCTTTTCAGGCAGAATGATTATATCATTGGGTCCTCAATAAGGTTTCAGCAGAGTCTAAAAGGAGAACAGGTTCTTACTATTTACTTTGAATAATAAGGGTTCTCTTTGGCAGAAAGTTATATGGGCTGAGCCAAGTACAGAAGTTTATCCTGCTTATCACTGCCAGTTGCTTCTGGGGATAACACGGGAAGAATTCACCCTTAAAGATGCAAGAAGTCTGCACAGTGTCAGAACTACACCTTAATTGCAACACTTCAGCCATTGAAACATTGGGGCACAAATTTACTACCAATTTTAGCTCCATAAAATTTGGACCAGTGTTCTAAAATATGAAATTCCATTCATGGACTTAAAAAACTTAAGAATTTGGAATCTTTCCTTATTGTAGTCACATGAGGATGGGTTGCAAACATACCTTACATGTCTCCATCAAGTTATTGTCCAGTGTGTGTTTGCAGTTGTACCATTTCAAATTTGGAGTTAGATACCCATATTAGTATGTGACAGAGACTAAAAATTCCCTTACATTTTTACGGTTTCACTTATATTTTGGTTTCTACTATGCAGCTATGCATTCTGGGCTTTCTTAAAAAATAATGAATTCCATCACTTTAAACTGATTTTCCTAGTTCAGTGAAAGATATTAAGAGAGGAAGTCACTTATTTTCAAATTGCATAGTTTTCAGTAACTGTCCCCAGTACTGGTCCCTAGGCATTCAGCAACAGAATTAATTTTAGCAGCTCTGGATAATTAACAAGAATGGCACCCTTGTTAAAATATGAGAGTTTTCAGCTGCTGTGTCTGTAAATTCCTCTTCCTGTTTTTCATTTCTTCTGCACTTTGAAGTACCTTACAAAACAAATTTGCCTCACTAGCACCTGGCTAGTGGCAGACCTATGCACCATCTCATAAATAATCATACAACAGAGGAAGAAAATACTGCAACAAAGTTCTACTACCTCAACAAAAACAAAAGACCAAGTGACCCATTCTAGACAGTTAAAAAATATTTGTAAAGGGAGAGGAATTTTTTTTCACATCTAAGTGTATAAAAAGCAGTTAATAGCTCTCTTGAACAGAAAAAATCTTTAAAGACAAAACTCAAGTGTCTCTGAAGAGATTCAGTAGGAGAAAAAAAAATAGAAACAAAACTAATTGCTATTCTGTCATCAAGTGGACAACTGCAGAAGAAATATTTGAAATATCAGCTACTTCAAATTTTCTCATTTATTCTAATTTTGTTTCTTGAACATATTATGTAAGTCTAGAAGGCAGAGAAAAAGCCAGTCTATCAAAATCAAAGCAGCTTTTAGTAAAGACAATGGAGAAAAAATTACTGTCTGGTTCTCAGGAAATTTCTCTTGTGCATAAATGTGAACCTAATTAACCTATAGCAAAAGAAATTAAAAACAAAAATAAAAGTTTTGTAAAAGGCTTTGTTTAAAAAAAAATCTGAACATTTTGGTATCACTGGTTGAAGTTTGCTCCATTCTCCTCTGCTCTATTCAGTGCAATGTGTTAGCAGAAGAACTGGCAGAGCAGAAGAATGGGATAGAAAAATTTGTATTCAGCCAAACTTTGCAGTGAAATTCCTTTGAGAGTTCAAAAGTTTATTTCTTCTGTTTTCAACTGATGGAGCCAAAATCTGTTTAAAAGAAAAATCTAAAATTTCACTATCCTAAAGTTTCCCATCACTGAAGAGTGAAGGCATAACAGGGCATAGTAAATGTAAACAATTCCATTCCTAGATATCCTATTCTATGTCTGTGATCTATCTTTATTTCTCTGTTTTTAAGCTGTGAGCATTGCATGGTTTCCAGTTAACCTGACGGAGTACCAATCAATATGCAGTTAGAGCAGGATCTTAAAGTATTATCACAGCAATATCTCCTCAACCCACTTTCATGGCAGTATAAGAAAACAAGTGGTGCTCCTTTTACAGAGGCAAAAAAATGATTGCACAATTCAGTCCAGTGTTGACTTCCTAGTAAGTAGGTGCAACATGATAAAACATAGGATGCATTTCTGACACAAAAATTCTTTAGCTATAGGGTACACTCCTTACTGAAAAATTATAGAATCAAAAAGGTTGGAAAAGACCTTTGAGATCATCAAGTGCAACTGTTAACCCAACATCACTGTGTTCACCACCAAACCATTTTCTCAAGTGCTGCATCCAAACGTGTTTTGAACAGTTAGAAGGATGCTGATTCTACCACTTCCTTGGGCAGCGCATTCCAGTGTCCCACCACCTGTTCAGTGGATGGTGTTTTTGTCCTATTCATTTTGTAATATCAAGGTATTTGCAGTGAATAATGGTCAAGTCTTTCAGACTTGTGCACAAAATTTGTGCTAAACAGCCATTGGGTCTCCTTCAGAGCCCTAGGATCAAGATGAGAGCCACATGCAGAAATTACTCTAGGGCAGAGTACAAAAGAAGTGTATTTCAGCCAATACTTACCCAAACCCAGACTGAGATTCAGGTAGGCTGGTGACTTGCACCACAGAACATTTAACTGTTCACTATCTTTCCCAAGGGTTCGATGCAAACTCAGATTTCATCCTTTCCCTTTCTCCAGGTTCTTCAGCCTCATATCCCTCCTTAATTATTGTCTTTTTAACTGTGACCAGGGAGGGAGTAGCATGTTGCTTTCACAAACTCTTACAATCTGGTCTTCAGGCTGTGAAAATATTTATATGCATTTAGTACACTATTAAAAGGGTTTGAACATCTGTACTAAGTCAGTGCTTGAAGTCAGGAGGGGTGCTAGAATACACCACTTTCTTTGGGCAAACATTTCTATTTCCATTGACTAATCCTTCATGTTAATGGCATTTATTTCACCCCTGTGGCAGGCAGGCCTGTCACAAGCCCTTCTAAGACCTCACTAGGAGGATATCCAGGACTGGATCTGCATCCTCTCTTCCTGATCAAAGTTACAAGTGCCAGATCATTCTCCCTCCTGGTCCAGGTCAAACGCAGCAGCAGCTGGGACAAGGTTTCATGGTCACATAGCAGAACTAGAGGCAAGATCTCATCCGCCAAACAATCCAAAATCTGCTCCTGCTGCTGTCACTGAGATCCCACTGAGCTCAGGACTCAGCATGACCAGTGAGCCAGGGCTCTCAAACAGTTCTCAACACCCTCAGAGTATGGTATGTGTTGCAAGGAAAAAAGTGCATGGTCCTCAGAGGGAACAGTTTTACTCTGTAAGACATTGGTGCCATCTCCTGCTCAGTCCAGAACTGGACTCCCAGAGATTCAGTGAGCAGTGCTACAGGACAGAGTTTGATTTTCCTTCTTGCTCTGATTGCAGTACAGCAGAAGGAAGGGATTGTCTGAACAGCAAGTTACAAACCACCAGCTGTTTTGCCTGGCATTTTGGGGACAGGGGCCTAACAGACAGCTTCCAAGACACAAATATCATCCCAGTGACCATTGCAGGAAAGGGGGGAACCCATATGTACTTATACAGCTCCCTTCCCAGTCTTCCCTCTCCTAAAGTACCCATTGTTTTACATTGTGTTTGTCTTCTGGATTCTGTCATGCTTCTTTTGAAGGGAAAATCTGTTGATATATGTTGTGTTACATGATCCATTGTAATTCCATGTAATGTAATCACAGACATGAAACCATCAGGAGGTTTTATTTTACACTCAACATGCAACTTTTTTTAGATGGCCAGAAGAGCTATTAAATGGATAGTTTGAGGGAAGCCTCCACATGAAGGCTGGTATAAAGTCATCTGTATTTAGTAAAGTATGTGCTTTGCAAACTATTATGCTGCAGGCTAACATTTGAGGATATCTATTGCAGACTTAAAAAGCAAACAAAAAACAAATTTGCACTAGTCTATCAGGGTCTCCAATGTTGTCTTTTCACAAATCCTAAATGGCTATAGCAAATGTTTTGGAAACCAAAGCGAATTGTCTAAAGTTTTGATGCATTTTATGTATAAATCATGTTTATTTGTATGTGTGGACTGTTTTTCCTGTTGACATCATTTCAGAGTCATTGTCTGTTTCAGCTAAGAGATATTTCTAATATCTTCATTATTTCCAAGAACTATATGTTAATGCATGTGCAAACACCAGTTCATCAGACTGAGGAACATGTAGAAGGAAATACTGTGTTCATAAGGGCCACAGCTGGCTTTTCTTAGGTATCAAGAGGAGACAAATAAGTAATTTTGAAAAAGAGTATGATGGGATCTGAAAAGAATTTACCCTAAGAGGACTCATTTTGCAGAAAAGTGGAGCAAAATGTTTATTGCTGTCTCCAAACTCATGTTACCATGAAGAGCTTGTATAGTTTGTCTGATATTTCTTTCCTACTAGGAACATAGTTTAATTCTTTGAGCTGACCTGTAATTTGAAAATAATTAATTATTTCTTTAATTTAGTGGCAGGTAGCTTGCCAAGTACCTTGATGAAGAAGTTGTTGCCCATTACCTACAACCAGTATAGTCCCTTTCTGTGTGTTGCTCCAATGCTTTCAAATAGTGGGACAAAACCAGATTTTTTTCCCCAGCCTTAACAGATTAAACTTCTTCATCTCCCAGTCTACAATCCCTGCCCTATACCATGAATCCATGTTTAGAACACTATACCAAGCTCCTTACCACTGAAAGCTCCCAGGCCTGCCCACACACCTGCCCCTGCACTCTAGCCAGTCCGAGTCTCTCACTCTCTTCAAGCATTTAATTTTTCCTTACTCCTCTATGCATCCCTCAGTCCCACAGGCCCTCTTCCTGACACCAGACCATCAGAAGGGAAGCCATCAAGTTGCTCTCTCCCTCAGCATGGACACTGCCTATGCCCCAAGGGCCTCAACAGAGGGGTCAGCAGTGGCCATGAACTAGCACAGGACAGGTGGTGGCTGGGTGCACAACTGGCCCATGAAATGAGCTGACTTGCTGCTTGTTTTCCTCAAACATACAGGTATAAATGATAGATATATTGCAATAAATAGATATAGATGAAGTTACAGTTAGATTTATAGTAAATATAAATTCTAAAATACCATATACCCTTGATATAGGTACAGCAATTAAATTTTTAACTTTGTAGCAAGTTACCATCTTATCTCATTTGTGTTTACAGCTCTAATGGGAAATCAGTTTCCTGGGCCCAGAACGAGAAAAGCAGCCGAGGAGCACACCTTTGGCAGCGGTTGTCAGTCCACATCAACAAAAAAGAGAACACCAACCAAACTGCAGTGATCAAGCCTTTTTCTAAAAGCACAGATAGTAGCCGGCACAGTAGCAGTGCTACATTTCCCGAGGCTAGTGCCAAAACGCTTTACGACGTTTCGGAAGCCGAAGAGCAATACCCAGCTCAATACCGACCACAGACTCCCTCACCAATCAGCACTTTGAGCCACAGAACTGCCTCTGTCAGCCGAACAGAAGATGAAGCCCCCACCTTCCAGTCAGAACCTCCTCAGCGAAGCAGCTCCTCTCAAGGGTCCATCATGGAGCAGATCAGCAGTGTTGTTACTCGCTTCACAGCCAATATCAGTGAGCTGAACTCTATGATGCTTTCAACACCTACTCCAGGGACAGCAGGGGCTGCTCCTCTCTGCTCTTCGTACCTGATTCCACGGGAAATCCAGCTCCCTACAACAATGACCACACTTGCAGAGATCCAACCACTTCCTGCCATTGAAGTCAATGGCTCTTCACAGGCTGCTAGGAAACCTTCAAATGACAGCATCAAAGAAGGCACTTCAGAGACCCCAACAACCAAGCAAGACCTGGAGGAGTTGGTGGCTTTAACTCCTCCTTCTCCCTTTAGAGACTCCATTGATTCTGGAAGTGCATCTCCCAGCTCTCCAGCTTCTGAATCAGCTCTCTGTATCCCGTCGTCCCCCAAATACGACACACTCCTCATCAGAGATTATACTCAAAGTTCCTCTTCGCTGTGAATGTAGTCCAAGATGATGTTGGAGCTCAACAACTGCAAGCAAGTAGTGAGGGGACAGCCAAGTCTTCAAGATCTCCAGTGTTTACGCAGACACAGTGAGAGGCATTGGGTCATCTTGTGAGGAATGGAAGAGAAGAAGAGGAATCACTTGAGAGGCGGAAACATCAGATTAATTTTGCTGATTTAAAGACAAAATGACTCTTGGCAGATTATCGTGGCCTTAAAAAAACATGGGCTTTTCAGAAACACTGAATCTATTTTTGAGGGCTTATAAGGAGTCTGTTAATCCAGTTACATACCAAGTGCTTTGCTTTAGTATTACAATGAACTGTGTGTACAATATAGGGGACAGGGGGTAACTAGATTGTAAACAACTGTACAATGGTTTGTTTGTTTACTCTGATCCCTTGCCCAGAAGTGAACCTTGATCTTTTATCAAGAATAGAAGACCAAACATTGAATGTACATTTTCTAACAGACTCAAATCTGGGACCAACATGTCAAGCTTTCTCTCTTTTTTTTTCTATGAAGATCACAAAAAGCAGTAATGTATGTTACTACGAAACCTTTTGCTGAAGAATATTGTGTCTGTGATACGTTACACATGGATAACACTAAGCTGAGGCTTTGCAGTGAGTGACTGCAATATGGAGGGCTTTACAAGTGACTTCTCAACCTACGCATTTGTTTATGAAATTCTCTTCTATCAGTATCAAATTTCAATTTGTTATCATTGGATTCACCTTCACAACAACAAAACCCAAGGAAGATCTCCTGACTATTTCACCATGTTGCCAACTAATATTGAAGTAGCAAAAAATATTTTCTGGAGTACTGTTTTGTAATTCACTTACCAGGGCAAGTTGTTGAGATGAATATTCTCTTTCTAGCAGCACTACCAAGCTACATTATAGCTGCACTCCCTAGAGAAATTAACAGATTTTTATGGACATCCTCATGATAATGTTACCAGTTAAAATACTTATTCAGACTCCCATCTTTGCTTGTAACAAACAGGTTATTCCCTAAGGATTTCTCCATCCTTTGAATGACAGAATTCTAGGATACCAATTTGGATTATGACAAATGCTAACTATCAGTGGGAAAGGTTGTCATAATCTTAATTAATATACACATATATATGGAAAAAAACCCTGTGTCAAAGTCTGCTTAGAGGTGATTAAGCTACTCTTTAATAAGCAACAATTTTAAAATTTGTTTTGCTGCTGATGCCTTGCAGCTATGAACAGTGACAAAAAAGTACATTCAAAGCAATACAGAGTAAAGGTTAAAACAAAGAAGACCTAATGAGATATGAACCAACAGAATCTTTGTTTCTTAGCAACTCACAGAAGAAACAAGGGGATTCCTCAAAATTTTTTTCCTATATCAAAGTAGTACAGTTTAGTGCAATTCATACTGTCACAGCACTTTTTTAATACAGGCAGGGAAGAGTTTTAAAGTTTGAATAGTAGCTAAATAATTTTTGATAGGTGTAGTTACATAGAACTTGTAAGTCAGACCCTAAACGCACACTGTATTTGCTCTCTTCTTCATGACATAGCTGTCCTCAGGTGCCAAACTTTTATGGGTTTGTTTTATTTTATTGAAGGATAGCATGAAGTGATGAGTAATGTACTTCAATTCAAAGTTGAGTTGATGTAGCCTTATATAGAAGACAGCCTCAAGGAAGGGAGCCTTGAAATAAGGCTGCTATATTTTATTTTCAAAACCTTTAGATCTTGTTTCTTCGAAAATAACAAATATTTTGTAATCAAAATTCATACCTCCTTTTTCTCCCCCTTGTTCAAAATAGCTATTTGATCAAACAAGTAAAAGATGAAAGCACATTCACATATTTTAACAAAGAGCATTTTCTATTTCTTTGGCATGCTTGTTTCACTATTATGTGTTGCACCCCAATTTGCTGCTCAACAACATTTAAAAATGAAAAGTAATAGATGACTGAATCCAGACCAGCACCTCACAGAGGTACTCTAGTGACTCTAGAGTCAGGCAATGTTATCCAATTGCAGTCTGGGCATGCTTGTCTTGTCAGGTACAGTCATTTATCAGCTTCGCCAATAGCATGAACAGGCAGGTCACAAAACAGCTCTACTCCAGAAGGCAGATCCCTACACTAAGGCATGACTGAAGGTCCTTGTTGCCCATATGCAGTTCTTGCATCCTCGCATGACTGATCAGCACAGACTCAGCTCTGTGCAGCTGCACGGTTCCCAGACTAGAGCTCAGTTTTGCCCTCTTGGTTCACAGTACTAGCATGTCTCATCATTCCTTAGCTGTCCATGTCATCAGGAGAAAGCATCTTCTGTTACAGGTTACAACCCACATTTAAGAGAAAAGCATGTCCAATCAGTCTGTGATACAAATATTCTTATTAGGGGAGTTTAGACCACTTAAATGTTGTTCATGGAAGACTCATATTATAATATTTGTCTCCCATCAGTGCAATATTGTTCTAATATAGAGTGTACTGAGATAACTAATGTGAATTTCAAAGGGATTCTATTACTACCTGTTCTCTTATACTTCAAATTATTGACCAATATTCTTACAGGAACATCCTCCATCTCGATCCTTCCCTAGAATTTTAGCTCCCCTTTAGTCTTTTCTTATGGTGGTGGACAATTAATAGAATTGTATTACTGCTAAAATCTGTGGGTTTCACTGCACTGTGAAATAATCAACAGTGGAAATAAGGATTATATGACAAATATAAAAATATTTCCTTAAATACAAAACTAGTAAAAAGGAGTGAAAAATAGAAACTGTCAAGCTCAGCATAAATATACCTCTTCTGCTCTCAAACTGCACCACAGCTATTGCTCAGAGCTTCCTGACAATGGTCATGTGTACTGTCATGACAATTTGGGTGGAGATGCCCCATGTGCCCTGAATGCATGTTTTAAGAGCCTAAAACCCTAATGCTGTGCAACCGAAATTTTAAACACTTTTGTTCACTCGCACTTTTGGAGGAGTCATGTATCTTTTGTGTATCTATCAGCCACAGCAGACATTTTAGTGACACAAGGAACTATGGACGGACCCTGCTGAGGTAGTATCTTCTAGGAATCAATCTATTTTTATTTAAAGATGGGCAACCTTAGAGGCATTTAAGGAAGGCAGAATCTGCTTTAATTGTGCAGACTGGAGTGCATCAATGTAATTTTTTATTATATGTTTGAATTTCAACAAAGGGAGAAAAGGTTTTGTGGAGAAGGCAAAAATGGTGTAATGTCTGTAGTAATAATCCAAATGAGCCCAGTGGAAGATTTGCAAGACTGGAAAGTTCTTTGGGAGAAGCCAGTGGGCTTGACATAAGAGAAAAAAATTATGAATGACAGACATCATGACTTCATTATGCTGTTTGTATGCTAGTCCTAGTTTAAGACATTAAGCTAGAGTGGCAAGGGTTTTCAGATATAAATGCAAAAGTTACAATCATGAACACTTTTCAATCTAACTAAAGAATGTGCAAGTACCAACTGTATGGCTTGAAATTTGCCTTCCAATATAGTGCTGCTGACACAAAGGGAATTAAAGGATTTGAAACTACTGTCATTCTTGACCACATGGACCTCAAAAAAAAATCTCTTATTTCTTTTGTGCTTGAGGCCAGCCCTAAAGAGTGATGGTGTAATCACCTCTGGATCAATGCTTTTGAAATAAAGTGAGCCATTCTCAGGCCATTTGGAAAGGAGCCTTTGCAATACTGAAGAATTGTATTTTTAAATTGTCTCTGAAGAATGATTGCATGACTTTGAAGATGTGCTTCCTTGTACTTCTATCTGAACATTTGGTGCCTAGACTCATGCAGATACCTTAGACCAGAGATTTTTAGACCACAGTCCACAAATCACTTGTTGATATTTCATGGAGCCTGGTCGATCACAAGGTGCTGGCTTCTTCCATTGATTTCCAGCTACAAAAGTGAGATAGAAACTAAATGCTAATTCAAAAACCGTTATAAGTTCTAAAAGAAAAAAAAAAAAGTTATGTTAGTTTTCTTGGATGTTTATTCAGTTGCTGTGTCTGTAAAAGGAAAACTAGTGTTAAAAACTGAGAGAATAAGCTATCAAAAGCAAGTAAATGGGAAGCCCAATCCATGACTCTCACTCTGGATGATAGAAGAGTTCCCCTGCAAATGTTTTCTTTAGTGTGCAAGACCAAACTGGAAGACTGCATAGCTGTGGGCGTAAGTTCTGTAAAGGAAAGTGTGCAACCTTGTTATTCTGCTTAATACATCATTTATGAGGTGAGAGGATAAAAGATGACAGCAACAGACAGCATAAAAAAGAGTGGGTTCCTTAGGGAAATCAGAGCACTATGCTCAGGACTAACAACGTGACCACAAATTTTGTATTGTATTGGAGACCAGTGTCAGGTCTGGTTTGGCTGACCCCAAAAAAGAGACTTTGGAGCCTAAAGTTAGGATTTCAGCAGAATTTAATACCTACAATTTAAACTCAATTTTAAAACAACTATTCGAATGCCACCTTCCTCCAGCATCTAGCATAGTATGTCTGTGTATGCTCAGAACTAACCTGATCATCACACATCTAAGGATCTTTGTACCTAACTCATGTTAAAACCCATCAAGGATGCAGAAAATACATGAGAGTACACAGAATGTACCATAAAGTCTCCTGGCTGAAAAATGCTCCAATGACTCAGTGTTGAGTTTCTACTCATTTCCCCAAGGTATTTTCATAGGACAGGAACAAATTCAAGAGTATTGCAGTGGAAAAGGAACAGTGCAACCTGATAAGACATACACTGAATAAAATTATAGATCATATATGACCATTTAATATAAAATACTTTTAAAATTTCTGGAGCAGAGACAAGGTATTTTAACTTCAAAGAAGTAAAGGCAACTTTTTTTCTGTGCTACATATTGGCTAAAAAAAGTTAAATGCTTCCCTGAAAAATGTTTTTGTGACAGGAGGGAAGGATGTGCCCTTAGATAACTTCTTATCTGCAGAAATGTTGTTTTCCATCTGGAGTTCTCAGACCCCAACATAGAAAGGAGAGCTGAATCTTCTTGGATAGGCAAAGGAATTAAACTTGAATCCTTATTCTCTGAGACTGCAGAAAAAGGGACTTATTTCATTTTCCTCCAGCCACCTTTTACAAAGGTGACCTGGCCCTATCTTTGTAAGAAAAAGTATAGGTGTCTCCAGAAATTTATCCCAGAGGAAAATTAGCATTTTCTGCACATTGCATTTGCATACTGGCTCAAATAGAGTATTGCTAGACATCTCTTTCCTTGTTGTGTTGATTTCTTGGGCACTAACTCTACTCACAAACTCCACAGAAAGGCTAGATATTTAACAAAAGTTCCTGACCTCCACACTAGAGCAAAATGCTATGTATTAAACAGAATAATTTTAAGTCCTGAAGTCCTTCATCTATTTGGGTCAATAGAATCATTCCAGATTAATATCCATATAAAGATAATCAAAGTTGTATAGTGGTCACTGAAGTCTAGACTTGACTATTTGTTCTGCAGAGAATTACAATGACAGGAAATTCTTCCCACTCTCTTTTGAATCAAACAGCAGATGGATTTTACTAGATTCATTCCTGAAGTTAGGCTTGGTGAATAGGTCCTTTCTACCATTCATACTCTATCTGGTATCCCAATGGGAAAGTCATCCTCTAACTAAACATGTTAAGGGATGTGAGTGAACATGTCCAAAAATACCCAAGAGGTCACAATTTTCTGGCAGTTTAATGAAACTCCAAAAATTAAGTCAATACTCTCCATGAACAAGAAAATCATTCATCTGCTACCCATTTCAGTGTGCACTTAATCTAGTAAAGACTTACATTGAATTACCTGAATTCTTTTTTTTTCTGTGATGGTTTATTATTTTATCCTCAGTTCAAATATCTCCAATTGCCACCAACAATTTTATACTGTGAAAAGGAAAAGAGATACAGGCCAGTGAAGCATAAAGGTAAGTAAAAAATTCATCTGGGTGATGAACTGGTGTATATGGCTGGTTTTGTCTCACCTGAGCAATGACAGTATTAACAAACAATAAATATTAAGTCACTCCAATCTGCCAAATGGGAACAAATATACTATGTATATTACATGTACTAATAGGATTATATGGCAGCTGCTGGTGGTATTTGTAATTAGAAATCTATATAGAATATAGATGTTTTAGAGAGATGGTGCCAATTCCAAAAGATTTATGTGGGCTACAAGTGCTTGTAATTATTTTTTTAATTTGCTAATAACTTATGAAGAACTGGTTTCAAACATTCTGTGACCGTTTGTTCTTTTTTATGTTGTTGCTGCTTATACTATTAAAACATAGAGAATGTAAAGTTATTATTTTGATGTGAACTGAAAAAGATTTTTCATAAAAATTTAACATTTTTATCAGCTTTGGTTTGCTTTCTACCTGTACAAATGTAATTTATTTTAGCATTGAAGAATACACTTGCTTGTTTCTCAATTGTCTACATCATGTTATAGTTGGTGTTTATGTAGAGTCAGGTACTTTTTGAACAGTATTAAAAAGAATCTGTGATATGACTGAAAACTGGATTTTTTTTTCTCCAGAACACTTACAGCTATGTCTTCAGTGCATTTTTCTACAAACCAGGTATGCCTATGCACAAATGCTTGAAAAACAATCTCTCTCTCTCTTTTACTCCTCCATCTCTGTTGCTTTAAAGGATTAAGTTAACATTAATGGTATCATAGTTACATAACATTCTACTATAGTTTGATCTTTGTCTTTTGACACACACACAATCTCATTGATGAGGCATATGTAGATTTGAAAGAAAATAGTAAAATAATCTAGTCTTGAGCAACAGAAAACAAAGATCCTCCACTCGGAATCACATACCAAAACTTTATTTTTATAGATGTCCTAAGAAACTACTTTACTCCTGCAATTGTAGATTCACATCTAATCTTGAACTGCAGAAAAATATCAGAGGAAATTTTTTATATCCTTTAACATTTGGTTTCTAGAGTTCTGCCTTTTTGACCACTAGGAATATATGTCTTATCTCACATCTGGCTACATTCTGTTTCCAGCCAATAGATTTTGCTATCTTCCCTGCTACAAGCTAAAAAAAACCAACTCCCAAAAATAAACAAACAAACTAAAAAAAAAAAAAAAACACAACAAAGCCACTACTCAATAAACCCCAACCCATACAAAAAAGTAACCTAAAAACCCTCCCCAAAACCAAATCAAACCAAACTGAAAAACAAACCAAACAAACAAACAACAAAGAAACCCCACAGAACAAAACCAACTTTCTAGTTTGGAAATCCTCTCCCTCCCATTCCAAAATCTGGGGTTTGTAATAGTCTTAATACTCTTACATAGACTGGTAAGAATTTGGAATAATTATACTGCATGCAGTGAAATGCAGAGTATGAACTGCAGCTCTCAGATAAAAGCCAATCATACACATTATTTTCTAAACACATCTCTAGAGATACTGCTGAATCAGTTAATTTGCTGTTGACAAATTAAGGTGACTAATTCATAACGCAATGGTAAGTAAAATGCCCAACTCCAGCTAAAAAACAATGTGAATTCATATCATGTCTTTGAACCACCTAAAACTCCACATCCCAAAGTTAATTCCTTCAGTGTAAAAATCCACAGCAACTAATTCAGCAAAATATACTGCTTTGTACCAAAAGAAGCATTGCAACTATTGCAATTTGAAGAGAAAGACTTTGAAAACCATATGCAACATCTTGTTCCATTGCAGAATATTTTTAAAGCAGTGTCTGGAACACTAGATCAAATTTGGTTTGATAGCAAGAGCAGTTAATTTATGCCATGCTCTGTGACCACCTCTCAGCCATGTTTCTTCTGAGTTTCTGTTATCACTGCAGAATGAGGACATTTAGAAACTAATGAAATAATAAATCCCATTCCAAATTAAATCACAAATCAATGTTTACATTGATTAAAAAGAGTGGGGCACTATTCTATAATACACCTTCAGAAATATCAGGGCAATTAGTAATGAGAAGAGAAAAAGTTCAATTTCTTAAAAAGTTTGGAGTCTAATTTCTCTGTCTGTCTGGAGCTTTATCTTTCCTTCACATTTGGTCCATAATTGTTATTTGATACCAGAGAAGCCTTACTGCCAGTACTGTCCTCCTCAGCTAAACTAATACATGGACTGGGTGCTCCTCTCCTTCTTACAGGAGTACCTTCTCTGTCTGCTCACAGAACAATGGGAAAAGGGCTGGAATTTTAATCACCCTTTGTGTCTGTTCAGGGACTATTTATTAAGTTTGGTTTCCTATTGTAGGAGTTTAAGACCAAATCACAGTGGAGAGCGTGAGGTGTTTATTACTGCAAAGGAAATGGATGAGCTTTCTTTTACATATAGAGAGACATTTGTGCTGTACTAACATTTTTTTCAGGGCAGTAGTTTCAAATCACCATCTGCTTTTATTTGTTTGCTTGTAAACCAAGTGCTACAATTAAGTCAATTTTTTAGACTAAAACAATGCAATCAGCATGCTCACTATGATTCTGTTTAACAGGGATTCAAAACTTACCTCCACATAACTTATTTATCTTATGTAACTTCTTTCCAAAGATTAGCAAATGAAAACCTTCACTGTTAAGGGTTTCCTGGGCTTTCTTACATATGTTGTGAATATATGTGTCATAGAATCACATAATTTTTTGTTTTGAAAAAGACCTCTAGCATCATCAAGTCCACATGTTAACCCAGCATTGTCAAATCCACCAGTAAATCATGTCCCCTTGCCTCACATCTATGTGTATTTGTTAACATTTCCAGGGATGATGACTCCACCACATCCTGAGCAGCCTGTTTCAATGCTTGAAATACATCCTCCATCAGTATATGAGGAGTGAGACATCAGATTTGTGCTTGTTGGGTGAGGTGAAGAGTGGGCTCAAGTGCTTGTCACAAGATTGGTGTGGTGTGTTACACACACACTGTGGGCTGGTCCTTGGCCCTCACGAGAGTAATTCCCAGAACTTCTACTGATCACCTTCTGCCTAAGCACTCCTGAGATGCTCCAGAGCTTCCATTATAAATACCCTTAAACATGTGTGTAAGCACCAAGGATGTCAATTAATCTCAGCTTAAAAATCACTTTAGACAGATATTTAACTAACTGTGTAGACACATCACTGATGAACCCAGAGAGGAAAATGCCCAGAAGATGTGGAATCCTAAAAATCTCAGTCTAAGACTGGGAGGATAAGATTTACTTCCAAGCAGAATATGAACACAAATGGGGGCCCTGAATTTTAGGTGTCAATGTCAAGATTACAAAAGCAATTCCAGTGAGGTAAAATATGAAAAGGAGATGGCCTGTAATTTATGTAGAAAGAATAAAGGCAACATATAGAATATTGAGGTAAATTAAGGAAGAAAAATAAGGAAAAGTATACCAAAATGAAAAATACAAGACTGTATTAGAAGTGAGATTTTACTGAGGGAATAATCATGAAACTGTAAATTTAGGAAACAATTAAAAGGCCAGCACAACTCTGGAGCTCCACCTGGAAGCAGACCAGTCAAAAGTGCTAAGTATCACACTGGCATGAAGCAGACTTTATGGATGGAAGAGCAGTAAAGAGCAGGAAAGAAATAATATAAAGATGTTACTGAGGTCAGGATTTTCACGCTGGCATCATACCGAAATCCTATCACAGTTATAAACTGTGTGAAATGACATTATTTCCTGATAGATTATTTTGTCCCATTTCCTCTTCTAAGTCATTGTTATTTGATGACCGGCAAGATGCTGAACAGTTAGATATTTGGTAAAGGAAAATCTGGCACCAAGTTAGTGCAGCAGAATTGGAGAAAAAACAAAGACTTGCCATGCTCTTTGGTAAGACAAGGCTGGCCAGCTGATACCAAATATCAGAGAGTGTTCATCCAAACAGGCTTTACTAAGCTTCATCTTAAAGCAATATAACAGGGTGCCTTGGCTTGTGCCACTTACAGTCTACCCCTGCTGCCTCACAAATAGTTCTGGGAGGCTTGGTCCATTAGGCCCCAGAATACCAGGCTTCTTGATTGCACTGCTGCTCCAAAGCCAACTGCATCTGCTCAGGCTAGGGAAAAGCACAACAATAGCCCAGTTATAACAAAACATTCATGTCTCCAGTGAGTTAAAGCTCCCAACCACAAATGAAAACCCATAGATGAACACAGCTAAAGAGAACTCACAACTGATGCAAATACCAACAGAAATAAAGGGGAGTTCACTGGGCAATGACAGCTTGAATTCAGACCAAAAGGTGCACATTTCTTGCACCATGTAGCAAAACTCTGCCTGTAGATTTGTTAGAACAGTCTGAATGCCAAAGGAAAGGAAGGAAATATAAAATTGCATAGAAAAGTCCAGCACTGCTGGACTTACATGAAATATAGGAATTACTTTTGCCTCTATTATACCTCAGTTGTCTGATGACAGACCATGGAATAGTGGGTTTTTAATTTCTTCATCATCCTTTCAGTACCCCAATCATACAAAAAATACTCAACACAGTAACTGACAGGGATTGTTCAATCATCTCACACTGCATCAATAGCAGCTGTCTTCCAAATAGATTGGGAGATACAAGCAATGCATCAACACTGGCTCAGAGGGAGCACAAAGCCATATGTAGGAAGGAAAACATGTTTTACCAAACAAGGTAAAAAAGAGACTCAGATTACAGAGATATCAATCCTGAATAATTTCACTGAAAATAGTGGTGATGCGTGTGAATGAGACTTATGAGTGTGTAGCAGATCAGGGTCTGAGGCTGTGTTCAGTATGGCTGGCAGTGTCATACTTCACAAGCTTGTTTTTTCTCAGTATGTTTCCATAGCACAATTTTTCCAAAGAATGTGCATCTCTTGTTTTTACTAGAATTCTTTTTCCCAGCTTCTACATTTGATTATTTTTACTATTTTCTCGGCTTCAAAAAATTATCTACAAAAATCAGGGTATCTGAATTTCACTGAAAATCCCATTAAACCTTCTACTTGCATTATTTTAATCAATCCTTGGTAATTTTCTATTAGTACTGCCAATACTGGTTATTTTTTACTTAAGCAAAGCCACAGAAAAACAATTCCCAGTTCTAATTAAGCGAATGGGAATTCAGCCATAGAACTACTTAACCAGTGAGTAAGCCTGGAGTTCATTGTTAAGCCCTCTCTATGCTGGAGCTGGTAACAGCCCATGTGCATCAGCAGGGACACTGTTCCTGGCCAACAACTGCTGAAGGGGGTAATTTTCTGCAGATTGCATGCTCACAGAAATACATCTCCTGACTAGAGCTGTACTTCCTCCTGACTAATACACTGTTTTATTCTGCACCAATTACCTTTAATACTGTTTTCTGGGAGAATAAGTTCATGAGGATAGTCAAAGATTCATCACGCCAGTCAATCTCAGTGTCAGGAAATGTTCCCATTCATCTTAAATTTACTAGAATAGAATAGATATAAAGCCATGCTCTCTGTTTCAGGACTGACTTACATTTGAAACATGAAAAGAATCAGGACAGAATGCTAA